CTGCGCTCCCGCAAAATTGATGATGCATGTTGATCGTGCAATGTTTGATGGAAGGAAAGGATTGAATGCTCTCGCTGGTAAGCGAGAGTGTCGAAAGAGGGTTGACGGAAAATCGGGAGAAAGATAGCGGAGTATATCGGAAGGAATGCAGTAGACTCGCAGGTGGGAGGTCTGACTTTTCGATCGCTCATGTCTTGGGAAAGTGATCGCGGCTGGAAAGGGTGTCCGCGGGGAAAGGGTGGAAAAAATATGTTCTCCGCTTCTGACGGCAGGGCGGAAATTGAACAAGTTATGCGCATGCGAGAGAGAGAGAGAGAGAGAGAGACAGGTCCGCAAATTATTTATTACTCCATCGTTTCGCGCGAATTCGCGTATGTTGCGACGTCTCGGAGCCGAGACAAGGCGCCGCTCGTCCTTCCCGTGTAATTTTTCACGGCGCGATCGATGATAATGCGATCCGCGGTTCCGGTAGACGATGTCGCAAGGAATTTTTCCTTTGCGAGGAAATTCCACTGCGGCGAGCCTCGGAATTCTGCAATAATAACGAGGCGAGACGAAATTTAAGACGTTATTGAATTAATATCGAACGATATCTAATATATTTTTCATAAGAAAAGATTGATGTCGAATTTTTCAAATAATGCGATGGTAGTATTTTTATGTACTCTGTACAGAAATACGTACTCCGTTATCGTCGTAGAAATTTCGAATCGAGTCATTGCTGTTGACGAGTCAGGAATTTTCTAGAGATAAAATATATTTCTTCGCTATACTTGTCGCGCAATAAAGTATGGCTCAATAACGTGGCTACGAGATACGAGAGGCATCTAACTATGGACGCATGCGTCTCTCTTTCAATTTTTCATCAGAACGTCGAACTTGGGAGCAATACCATCTCGTCTAAGGTTCAAAGCCTTGTCGTCGCCGGCGGTAAAGCCCTTTCTCGTGCAAGAATTCGAATCCTTCGTCAGAGAGACGGTCCTCTTACCTTTGAGTAACCGCATACCGTCCGCAGGCAGTCGCACCACGAAAAGAACTCGGACTGCGAGACACATGGCCATAAACCAGCCGAAAATATGAATGAATTACTCGCAGTTGTAAAAATGCAGTCGCATATAATTAATGATGAAATAAAAATGACTTAACTACCGGAATAATAACTAATTTCATTTTTTATCTTTGTAAAATAAAAAATATACATATGGATATTACATTATGTACATCTAATTGAATTTATAGACATACATATAATAATATTATATAATTTAAGTACTCATTTGTTGTTGGTTCATTGTTTTAGCGTGTTTTTTTCATTGCTAATTTTTAATAATACATTTTTTGTATAAATGTTGAGATATTAAAAAATGTAAATTTTTATTAATAACTAATCAATTTAAATGCGTGTCACAAAATTAATATTGTTATTTGGCAAATAAGTTAATTATTTAATAATAGTCTTTGCAGTTCAATTTCTATAAAAATATCGTGAACCGTCCGAAAAAATTCGAAATGTCTAGTTCATCGTAAACATAGTGTTTTAATCTCAGCTCTTTACTCATTTCTCATCCTTCTCTAACAATGAGATATTTTCGCGCGTCTGCCTTGCTGAAAGTAACGCGAGTCGACGTAGCCGTTCCTATTCTCTCTCTCTTCGCGCATTTTGACGGCCGCAAAGACGACGTGGCGCGGCCCAGGTGAGAACGTCAGTCGAGAAAAAAGAAACAGGCGAAGAATAAGGGACAAGGATGTGAGGGGTGTCCGGTATATCGGGTGGAGGCAACGTAACACGCGTGACTCGTCGGGAATCACGCAGCACGCGCAGGTACGCGGCTAAATGAAATTTTAATAAAGCCGCGCTGGAAGACCGCGCAGGCCTGAGGGGGAGTGATCCTCACAATGGAACAAAAGTCGTCCGAAAGGCGTCGGCGCGCTTCTTCTTCCGAAGGAGCAGCCGCGCCGCGATAATTATATCGAGGCGACGGCACGGAATCTCGCCAGAAAAACTTGTCTTCGGCCCTTAAGGGACCGAGAAGTCCCCAGAACGCTCGCTCGCAATCGCCTAACTAAAGGCGAATTTACACGCTTCGCTCCCGATGATTACCACGGATGAATCATCCAAAATAAATTGGATGAACGTGTTTTTGTTCGAATGTATCGTGCTAAAAGTGGGCTACTCGATTCCGCGGCCGATCCGACGCGGGCGTTCGCGTATTTAAAAAAAAAATTTAACGCGCGAGAGAAAGGACGGCGACAGACTTTTCCTGTATACATAATTTGTATAATAATTCAATTATATATTACCCTATATACACGAGGGTACATACTACATGCATACGCATAGATATATAGAGTTTATACACCTCTGAAACGTCAACTATAAACTCTCAATTCTCGACTGAGTAAACTGTCGGTTCTCTAAACTCTCAGCTCTGAATTCTCAGCTTCCAACTTTAAGCTCTCTCATCCCGCGTTTCATAACTCCGTAATTTCTCACTTCGAACGCGAAACTTGCAATTTGTGTTGTTATTGCGTGTGATCAGTCCAATAAAGAAGCTCGATTGAGAAATCGTAACATCCGCGCCCGACAGTACTAGTATCTCATGCAAATAGAGTCGCTACAATTCTCGTTGGAAATGAGATAAAATCCTGGAGCTTACTTTTTATTTTGCACAGTTTACTCTGATATCGCCTAAAGCGAATAAAAATGGAAAACGGCATTGTTTATTTTATCGTTCAACACAAACAACGATCTGTTGCGAAAATAATGTTTGCGTGATTTATTCTTTTTCGCTTTTGCAAAGTTTTTGAATGATTCCTTCGATCCATATCGTCGAGAATCTACCGTGTAAATTTACCTTAACTTTTGCATCCAGTCCTGCCCTTTGTCTCCCTTGCAACGGGGAGCGCGCGTAGTCGTCTCGGTTCGACGATCGTCGTAGCGAACGAGAAACTCGATCGAGGGAAAAGGCGAAGCAGGCGCGGCGTCTCTTGTTTTTGCCGGCAACGGCCGTTTCTTCTTTGTAAGACGATAGAATGGCATTCTAATATCGGTATCGAGCAAGAAACTGCGCGCGCGATAAAAAGACCGATGGTATTCGGAACAAAGCGGCCGAGCCTTAGGAAATTAGCAAAAATTTTAAGTCACCGCTGTTCCGATTATTCAGCATTTTCAGATTATTCAGCAGTTTGTTTCTTCTTTATTAGGAGTACGGAAGAGTAAAATACTTGGGGCGCGTAAGCCGTTTAACATGTTTTTATTCTGTTAAACGTAATAATCAATATTTTACGAGGCTTAGCCATTCAAATTTTATTGTCCAAATTTATGGCAGAATGGAAGCAAGTTGTTTATCGCATCTTTTTGCTGGCACTTTTTAAGAAGCATTCTAAGACTTGTAGTCGAGCATAGGACGCAATGTCATAAAATTCTGATTTAAAATAATAATAACCTGGTGAATATTTTTATAATGCACGTTGTATCGATAGCTTTGCTTTTCGACTGGTACTTTTTCTTAGACGACGTTTCGTTTTATTAAACCTCGCGCGATAATATGCCTGCATAAAATTTTGCAGTAAACGTAAAATGTAGTATAGGCCAGCTTCACGTGTTGGCTTAGAGAGACTTTCTATCCAAGTACGTGATAGATCAAGACAAAGAACGTTTTCGAATCATTAAACCGCGAGAAAAATAAATCTTAAAGCCGAAGATCAAGATAAATTCACATTGCATTGCTAAATTAGAAAAAATGGGTAGTGAGTAGCTAAAATCTTAGACCGCACTTCACTCGCAAAGGAGAGAAAAAAAAAAAAAAAGAAGAAGAAAAAATCGTTAGCACTGTAATTTTAGTGGTGATACTAACTTGGCATATAAATCATGAAAAAAAGAACTTGGCGATTTAAATGCCAAGTTAACGCTGCCGGGCCGAGCTTAGAGTGTTAATCGTAGCGGGTGAAAAGTGGAGCGAATTAGCGAGGAGAGGAAAAAGAGAAAACGTAGCTATGTTTCGCGCGTCGCCGGCGGGGATGGCGGATAATAAATTAATATTTTCACACGATAGATCGCAGGACCATTGCCAGTCCTCCTTGACGTCGGCTAACTGTAAATGCGAGTAGTCACGCATGGGAAAGGCGAATGCCGGTCTCACGATTGCCGTTGCGAGGAGATCGATTATTATTACAAGAGATGTTATATCCAATTTCGCGTCATTCGCGCGCGAAACAGAATGAGACGGCCGTAAACACAGCGTTCCCGAACGCGAATATTATCGGTCGCACAAATTACGGTGCTCGGTCTATTTATTTACGTACGACCAATCAGTCGATTAACTGTTAATGATAACGGCTTTGCGGATATAATTAATACGAACAGGATGGAATAATCATGCCGGCGATGACGCGTTTCCGCCTGTCAGTCGATGCCGATGAGCGCCTTGCTTGTTAAAGAAAAAAACAAGTCGTCTTCCGCGTATGTTGTAGGATTGAAAGAAAAAATCGACCAACTGCGAGTGTCGATGAACTGCATTCACGTCGTTAAGTAAAGGATGATGTTTCGTGTGTGCATGCGTGTGTATCATACGCGCGAGTGCACGCGACACGTCGTTCGATATTAGAATTTTCGACGAATATTCGTCGAATATGTCAAGCAATATTAATCCATTCGTTATGAAGCTCCAATATTGGAATATCCGATATTGTCGATATTACTTCCTCATAATAAAAACTCGAAAATTATTGGCAGCGGATTTTTGTATCTTCTCATTTTGCTCACGTCAAAAATTGTGCTAAAAAATTTATACAATGATAAAATATTGCACGAGCGCATTTTTTTCAATTCTAATGGATCTTTTCTCCTTTCAAGAGAATATCTTCATTCGCAACGATCGATTTAACTTTTGGACGCCGCGAGTGCGCAAGCGAGTGTGTGAAGCGTCGCAACGACGATGCATTATACTTTATGGCACTGCTGGCACGGATTTTAACGTTAAGTCGTCGCTTGTTTCCAGGACCGGCACGTGAAGGACACCAGCAGGGATCCGCAGATGGATTCGAGCCAGGATTACCGGCTGTTACTGGGTTACGAGAACAAGACGCACACAGTGCTCCGTTTCAGCAGGCGATACGACACATGCGACCCGCGGGACTTGAAGATCACGGTAGGTGATGCGATTTATTCAGCTCGAAAGGCGCAGGACAATCTTCTGCGGAGCGCACACAAAGCACGCGAGATTTACTTGTCGCGCTTATCTTGCACTATTTTTTGCCGTGATAAATGCATTCGTGTATTCCTTGGAGAAAGATTAATACGGGATTCACTTAGAGATGAAATAATTCAAAGAAATTTATTTCTACGAACATAAATTTTATATTAATCTTTTCATTAGAGCAAATAAAGTTGTTGCAATATAAACATCTTAGTGTATTTGGGCAAAAATAATAGAGAAAACTTTCTCTTTTATATATCCAATAAGTTTAAAAGATAAATTTTTATTTTTGAAATTAAACCAGAGAAAACCTTATCATCATTCTATTAAATCAAACCTGCATAATTTTTTTTTTCTATGTAGATACTTATAATTTGAAATTAATCGAAAAAGTTATACGCATCGGTTTTTCGAAGCACGCAATGATGTAAAGATGTTGAATACAAAGGTATAGTTAATTACTGCATTTAATTATTACGCCCACGGTTGTAAAAAAATACTGCGAATGTTTGCGTTCCCGAGTCGCGGACTCGAATGAAATTCGGCGGCTCGTTATCGCAATTTTCCCGCGCGATATTCCGTTACTCCCATTGTAGGACAGTCCGACCTACTTCTTTATTTCGCCGGTAATTAACTCGGAAATAGATTGCGCGATAGAGCCTTCCCGCCGCTCGACGGTGCACGGTACGGGCTTAACTCGAAGAAAAGAGATTACGCGAGTGTTGCGATCTGCTTTAAGCCGCGCAACATGAAATTTATTGCAACCGACGAGGCCGCCAAGATCTAAATTCCAAATCCTCATCCCCGTTATTGCGGCTACAGGCGCTCGCTTAATAGCGTCATTGATACGCAGTTATGTTCCTCGGTAATCCGTGACCGGCGAAAATAAAGCTTCTTGCTCGCGCTTAAAGCGCTGGATAGAGAAAACTACTGGGTGAAAACTTGCGACTAGAATTTTTTGTTTTGTTCACACATGAATTTGCCGAGCGGGTTTTATAAGACACGTTCCCAGGGAGGATAAAGGGAAGCAATAACGCAATATTTGTTCAACGCGGTTATAAAGATAGAAGTGTGCAGGTTGCCTGTAAAAAAAGAAAAATCGTACACCTTTAACACTGGAGTTTGCAATCGCGCGTCTTTAACCCCTTTAAGCAGCAGATCTCTGAGAAAGAAATTTTATCATTGCGTCATTCTGTCGCTTCAGAGTTTCGCGTGAATTTGTTTTAGTATGTGCAATCCCTTTGTATGAGCAGAAAAATACAATAGAAATATTGGTTCTGTAACACATTTTGTTTGCTTTCAATATAAGAGAAATATACACAGCAAAACTTTTACAAAAAGTATTATGATGTTATATTTTTAGAACGTTAATACTTCCGATATGCGTGTGTAATTTTTCTCATTAATTATTTTTTTTTTTCAAATCAAAAAAGAAAATTTATCCGGAGAATCGAATCTCTCCCCTCATTGTCAGTTTTTCGCGAAAATAGAAAATAGGTAAGTGAAAAAAAAAAAGTTGATTTTTAAAGTCGAATAGACTTTTCAAGCACATATTACATACAGTTATTCAAGAAAAAAGTAAGAATTTTGTTTGCTCCTAATCGGCGTTCTTCTCGATTATGTACTTATTAACCCTTATTATCGTCATCACTTCTGCGAAATCTCGTGGCGCGTTATCGACAATCAGCGGTTAACACACAATCGTCGGGGTTCGATTTTCCACTTGATCGTATTATTATCGCGCATCAATTTCGGGCGAGCTCGTTGCGATGCGATCTCATCGTCTGCCCGCGCGTGCATAATTCGCTGCAGCCACCTCGCTATCGAGGCTATTGCCGCTCGATGCCATGTGGATAAACGGCGTACGTGTTCGTAAATATTCGCTCGCGGTAAATCGAATTCCCCGGCGTTACGTAACGTCGAATTAAGCGTTATTTTCAGTTAACGGATTATCAGTGATATAAAGAGAAACAACCCTTTTTCAATACCTATTAAGGGATCATTTTTCTCAGTTTACGCTACGTACCATTTATTTTCATATTATGCAACAGAATAGCGAAGCATAATTAATCCATCAGCGTCATTTAAGGCTCACATCGGATTACATTAGAACACGCATTTATTATTTTTACTTCAAAGAGATTTGACATAAACATATTATGTAACGTTAAATATATCTCGATTATAAAAGGCGAATTATTAATGATCAAAACGTCAAACTAAACTTTATAGTATAATCAATTGTATATTTATTTATTATTATAAATATTATATTATTTTAA